TTAGTAGTATTTCTGCCTCTCTTTTGCTTTTTTCCCATCCTTTTTTTCCGTCAACCACAGCCCAGTTCTAGCTATGGAATCTTTTGTCTCATGAACCATTTTCTTCCAACTGCTTTTGTAGACATTTTCTTTGGTACCTGCAGTCCCCCAATAACAGCTGCAGTTTTGGGGAGGCTTGAAACTGTGACCTGGTGCCTCTTGAAGTCAATGATGTTTGTGCTTGCTTTCAGAAGGGGCAGGATCCAAGCCAATATGTTTGTTTTCTGGGCAGAAGAATACCAAGAGTCAATACTAATCTCTCACCTCAGTTTTTTTCTTCCTCTCTGCAGGAATGGACATACACATACAACCACCAAGTCCGCCAGCAGCAGCTGTGTTTGTCTGTGTACACACTCTTCCCTGGTTCCCAGGTGCTGCTGTCACCTTGTAAAGAAGGTGACAACAAGCAGGTGAGCCCTTTCACTGATCCCCCATTTTCTTTGAGATTCCCTTTCTTTCATCATAGTATTACTGCACAGTAAATGGCCTGTGTGTTCTGACTTCATCTGGGAAGCACAGTCTATTCAGGAGCACAGGCTCTGGCCTGTTCAGCCCTTTGCCTCTTAAATGAGTGTGTTGATAAGGATGTCTATTAGTGAGGGTGGTGATCTGGATACTTATCTGCAGAAGTCAAACCCAAACTGGCAATTTAGTTCACACGGGCTGCCAGTCAGGCAGCAGATGCTAACGTTTCTCTGCAGTTAATCACTGAGCTGGCATTTGAACCAGTGACCTGGGGAAAAAGCTGTTAGTAATATATTATCTTCCTGAAGCCAGGCAGAGGCCGAGCTCAAATGAGTGTGCTTCTGATGGGAAAAATGCTCAGCATGTGCTCTGCTTGGTGCGAGTTTGGGGACCTTGTGCTTCCCAGCATCAGGCCACAGAGGCTTAGTGACAACTGTCCTTTTGATGCTGGAACAGTATAGTAAAAATATAATGGGGCGGAAGCTTGTTCATCTGTTTCTCCTCTCGTGTGTCTCTCTCCTCAGCGATGGGGTAAAGTTGGGTCACACATTGAACACATAGCCTCACGCTTCTGTTTGGACACTGAGACGATTGGGGACACGAATGAAAGTATTAAAGAGCTTGTCATCAACCCTTGTGAGAGCACAGCCATGAGTCAGCGCTGGGACATGGTGATGTCTTGACCTGCTGGAGGAGGTGCACGGCAGGGACGGGCACTGAGACGTTGCTACACGCAGCCAAGATGCACCAGCTGGAGCTCAAATGCAAAACCATTGGGGTTCCTTGTGTGCTGTGGAAAGGAAGAAGAATCGTTCAGATAAAAATGGGACACAGTGCTCCAAATTGAACAACGCATTTTGACTCTAAGGCACGCAGCTGGTATTGGCCTGTTGGCAGTCATACATTCAAAGAGAAGAGATGGCAAAAAACAAGCTTGAAATGTTTTAGAGGGATGCTGGGGCTCCTGCTATGGCCTGTATAGAACTTCAGTGTGCACAGTATTGGTTATCCACCTGAAAACGCAGGTAGAAGAGCCTTGAAGACCAAAAGGAAACTTGAACTGAGCAAAGCAAGCATCTCAATAGCTTTTGAGGGTTGAGGTGGGTGCACAAGGTGGGATGTGCCAAGGGATGCTAAGAAACATCTCCAGGGATCAAGTGGAAAACACTGAATTATCTTTGCACCTTTTACTGCTGTGGATGTTCTTGTCTCTGCAGACAGCATTGGGTGGAGCCGTGTTGCACGTTTGAATTTGTACCTAATCCACGTACATGTTATGTATACAGAGGCAGAGCAGTCATTTATGTCTGTGGCCAGGATCAAAACAGCAGGTAGTGGGGGAATCCTGCTTTGTGCTAACTGCACATGGGGCTTGTTGAATCTCCAAAGCCCAAGCAAACAGAGGATTCAGTGTGTGAGATTAAAGGATATAAACCGCTGTGAAGCTGGGAGGAAACGCAGTAACATGATTATTTCTTCTCTCTGGAGGCCATGGGTCACTGAAAACTCCCCTATAATCTCTCTATGTGTCTCTCACTGCTTCAGATCTGGACTAAATCAAATTTTCACTTTTATTCCATAAAAGTAATATTTTTGGTAATTGAAGGTAATTGTGTCATATTTCTGTTTCTCAATTTCCAAACTACAGAAGAGGGGACTGCCATGAAGTGCTGCTACTAAAGGAATGGTGAAGGTAATTAAAATTAGAGACTGCTCTGAGAAAGGAAAAGGGATATTACCTGGTTTTGCTTCCCAGGTATCTTGTAGTCCAAGATATGAAGTACTGAAGAAAAGGTTTGGGATTCCCCAGTCACACTGTGAGCAGGGAAGTCTGTGTCACGACGTACCTCTCTCTCAAAGATATTTAACATAGGCAGACCTGGCAGAAATTATTTCTTCAGCTTTTGGAGATAAGTCATCAACCAGAGGTCATGGCAGGTGCTATCAGTATGTGGGAGTGAGGTGTGACTGCCAAAGGACAATAGGACAGATGACCTCAGAAAGGGTCTTAGGCATAGAAGACTGGAAGGTTGTTTCTAGCCTGTCTTTCAGGGCAGCTGCTACTACAGCAGCAGATAACAGGCACTGGATCTCCAAGAGCTGTGCATGCAGCTCTTGTGAAGTAAAAACTCTCAGAGAACTTTTGCAGGACTGTCAATGCGACTTGAAAAAGAAAAATATAGTTTGTGTCTCTAAAAATGCTAGGATTTAATGAAAATCCTATCCTTTTTTTCCTGTGCTGCAAACTGGAGGTAAAATACCATAAGCTTTAAGCCTTCAAGCACTCTCAGCATCCCTTCTTGAATAAATTGCTGGCTTTCAGGATTTTACTGCCTCAGTTTCTCCTCCCTCAGTGCTGGGAGAAAGCCATATGTGTAAATCTCCCTGCCTTTGAAGCAGAACCAGTATAGCTCTTTATGTACAAAAGGTCGCAGTGCAACATGCTTTTCATGTGCTGCAGTGATTACTAACCTCATCAAGCTCCCTTGGTGCACGCCTCAAGGGCCTCTGTTATGAAAGGGCTGGAGCAAGCTGTCATTTCATGGTGGGAGGTGGCATTGTTTCCATGCCACCACTTTGCAAAGGAGACAAAGGGAAGCACTTAAAATGGAATGGACCCATTTCAAAAAGAAGGGCAGTGACTTTGGGCTTCTTCTATTTAATTAAACAGGGAAATATCACACTTCTCACAATAGTGGTGTCAGGCAAGTGGTAGTAATTCCCAGTCTAGTGCTTACAAGGGAAAGCAGCTCCCAGGAGCTTGAAGCTTAACAGGTTCACACCTGTACTGTGCCTACAGCCTGGGACTGCCCAGCTGCTGGCACTTCGATTCTGAAAATCTTGGCGTTAGTTTTGAAGTTCAGCACCTGCCAGGTACACTGAGTAGGACCTCAGACCTATCTAGCTCTACTGTTTTCCAACAAAGCTGAAAATACCCCTTCTGCTGACAGCCAAAGCTCTCTAAACAGGTAATGCTCTTTGCCTTAGCAAAAACAGCTACCTCACGACTTGTGTGTGTGTGCTTGAGCACAGGGACCCATGGGACCTGCAGGAATGTATTCTAGGAAGGAATTGTTTGACCAGCTTTTCAGCTCTCTTGCCTTTTGCGAAACACCAATGCTGTACCAAATCCCTCCTATTCCAAAACATGCACTAAGGTGATCACTGTGAACATGTTTGGGGGCAATGGAAGGCAGGCAGTGGGGAGGGCGACATCAGGAATGGTGTTCCCTGCTAGAGAGTAGTAACTAAGTTCAGCTGAGCCCAAAAGCCACCTAACAGACATGGGTAAAGCAGCCACTTGGCAAGCTGGTGATTGTGTCTCACACATATATCAGCTGTAACCCTTAGGCTACAACTTATTTCATGGTCCAAGAAATGAGATTATCCCTGTGGATCAGCAATGTTTTCGGAGAAGCCTGAGACTATCAGCCTAACTCCTGGGAAGGTTTATATAAGCTGGCAATGCTCTGGCAGTCTCCAGAGTCAGCCCCCCTATGGCATTTAGCAAATCTGCTTAATATCCCTGCAGAGACCTTGCATCATGTCAGGGGAAAGGTTAACTGCTGCTGAAATCCAATGCATACCTTTAGGTTTATTTCACTTATTAAAATAGACTGAAGACAGGTTTTTGCTTTGTATTTGTTCCTTGTGTAGGCCTTTATTATCATGCTGTGAACAGATAAATGTGACGGATAGGTATCTAGATGGGCTCCCATGCCAATACTTCTTAAGCCCTAATGTCATTTGGTAGTAATGCTTTTTGGTAACATTTTGCGCTGCCTTGGAAGAAAATAAGATAAAGTAGAAAATATGATTCTAATCCTGGCTGTTGAGCTTTTTGACAGCCTTTATGATCTACAGGTAAGTCATTTCTTGTGCCTTGGGAAAATTAGATTCAGAACAGGAAACTTGGGGCTAGAACTACTACTGGCTTTTAAAGAGCCAACTAAGGCTATTAAAAAAAAACCACATCAAAAAGACCCCAAACAAAAACTCAAACAAGCACTAGCCCTTCCCTCATGAAGGAGATCCGTGTTCCACTGAGAAAAAAATCTATCTGGTTTTAGTTGGGCTGGAGAAGTCTTGCAGTCCTTATGTTGCTGCTTATGTGATTTCCAGGTATTTTGTGTTCACCTTCTCTCTGTACCAGTGAGTACCATAAGATAACAACAAAAATCATCAGTGCTTGGAACCTCAGGTTACAACATGGCAAGGTAGTAATTTAATAGTAAAGAGATGGAAACTGAATTCAAAGGTTTTGATTATTCAGCAATGCAACAGGAAAATAGATAGATGGAGACTGGTGGTTCAAGACAAGCAGCAGCCCTGAGTGCTAATCCCTTCTTCTGCTTCTAGGAGTGGTTTGGGATAGCTTACTTCATTTCCCTGCCACAGCTTCCCAAACTTTTAGTGAAGACTGAATGTTTTGAACAGAGAGAAAGCCAAGGATTAGTTTTTGTTGCATGCAATTCCAGCAGTACTGGACTGGCAGTCTCTGGAGCTATTAGCTCCATGAACCCATTTTATCTGCCTGAAGAGGGTCTGATTCAGACGGAGTTAATTTTCTTCATAACAGCCTGTAATGTCTTGTGTTTTAGACTGATGACCAAAACAGTGTTGATAACACACCACAATGTTTTAGTTTGACAACACACCTGTTTTAGTTATTGCTGTGCCTGCGCAGTGTCAAGGCCTTCATCTCTCACCCTGCTAGGTAGCAAGTAGGCTAGGGTTGGGGAAGAGGGTTTGGAGGCAACACAGCTGGGTCAGCTGACCCAAACTGACCAAAGACACATATCATACCAAATAATGTCACACTCAGCAATAAAACTGGGGGGAGTTTTGCTTTGGGAGGTGTTGCTTAGAGACCTGACAGAGCATCAGTCTGCAAGTGGTGAGTGACTGCATCACTTTTTTGTTTTTGTTTTCTTTTATTTTCCTTCACTTATTAGACTGTCTTTATCTTTACCCACAAGTTTTTCTCATTTTTGCCCTTCTGATTCTTTCTTCTATCCCATTTGGCAGGGAGTGAGGGAGTGTCTGGGTGGGGGCTTAGCTGCCAGACGAGGTCAACCCACCATACTGCCCTAAGCAAACCGAGGTCTGTAGTGTATCAGGATTCAAGGCTCGGGCTCTGATCACAACTGTGCAATAGGATCTGCACTGCTCAAATTTCTGATCTTAAAAGCTTTAGTGAAGAGCTATGGGCTAGGATTGTTGGTAGAAGTGGTAAAGGAAGGAAAATCAAGCATATTGCACACAAGCAGCAAAAGAAACTGTAGCTCATTAATGTGCTGGCTAAATTAATTTTGAATGATCGGTCCAGCTCCAGTTTTAATATGCAGCTGCTTTAGATGGCCGAAGAGTTTAAGGAAGCCTGGTATGAGTTTCCAGCTTATGTTGAAACTTAAGTGGAATTTTCCCAGATTTATGGATGTTTTCCAAATGTCCACTGTCCTATTACTTGCTGGAAGTGCCTTCAGAACCCCATAAGAATAAAAACCTGTTGCAAGCTACCACCTCTCCAACTGAGTCTAATTAAGTTTCAAGTTGAGCTGCATTTTAGCTTAGAGCTGATGAAAAACAACATGTAAATTTGCAGGTAAGAATGCTGCTTTTGTGGTGTAAATGGCTGTTTTGTTTTTTCTGGTATTACTTGGGCTCTGAAGAAATCCAAGCTGGTTGAGTGTGATGTACAAAAGAAAACATGACTGAGTTTCAAGACTGAGTTTTGCATAAGCACTCATCTAGTAATTATCTATCAATTGTCCATATCAATGAGTAATGTCTCTCATTTTCCTATGATTTATATGAAAGAAGTGTCCTGACAAGATATTGCTACTGCACAGGGTTGAATTCAGTTGTAAAACCAACCAACCAACCAACCAACCAACCAACCAACCAACGAAGGAGGAAAAAAAGGAGAAGGAATGTTCATAGCTTGTATGTAACCTGATACATGCAATAAAAGAAAGATATTGCAAAATTAGAACTGTTCCCAGGCTGAAAGGTTCAGGTTTATAACAGCATCAGAGCACAATCTGCCTAACCCTCAGTTTTCTTACTAAGACCATGTGCCTCTGCAGTCCTCCTGTGGTCCTTCAGAGAAGCCATACTTCTGTCAAGTATTAAACATGCACTACATGGTCCCAACTAACTCTGGCCATGGCCTAGTGATCCATGTGTCTGTTTGTGTGCGTGTCTGCAGCAGACAGTGCCTCCTTCTCTCAGCTTCTGAGAAGTTGTCTGAGCTTATTCTAATAGAGATCAGCATCCTGGTGCTGTAGTGGTGTTTTTGCATTTGAAATGTTTTCAGAGTTAGAAACGTTTTGAGCAGTTTTTGTGTATTCTGCTCCTGCTGACAATTCCTGAATCACCCCCATGTACATCCAGCCTATGTTCTCTTACAGAGATGATTGTTTTCTCTAAATGCACAATCAGACCCAAAGTATACATGTAGTCACAACCAGATCCAAGGGTGTTACTAACATTAGCTCTAATCCTCTTGGCCTAAGCCAAAACAATTTAGATAGTGATTACAAATTTTACTGGACTTCAGCTGCCTGAGGCCACTGACAACAAGGACATACAGCACTGATATCTCATAAGAAGCAAAAGAGCAAGTGGTGTTGGGAGAGAATGCTCCAAATCCTCATCCTGAGGCTGCTTTCACCTCCTTACTAATCCTTGGGAAGTTGACCTGGGGAAGATTGTGCGCAAGGTAAGGTGAACGGGAGTTTTCCTAGAGATCTGGCAGTTGTGGGAAGCACGGGCAGGTGGTCTGACTGACACCTGAACTGATGGAGGGCAAGGTGGGTGGGTTCACACAAGATGCACAATAAGTTGAGGAGGTGTGAGGCTGCTGCAGCAGATCAGGCAAGACTGTGGAGTAAACCAAGGGCATTACATATCATCTGAGCATGGAAACACCTGCTTCCAGGAGTGCAGAGAGCCTGCGTGGATCTCGGATCAGCACCCTATGCTTTGAGGGGTTTTTATTTTGACTGATAAATGATCCAGTGCTTGAAATGGCTGCCCCACAATGCTGTAGGGGTTAAAAGAAATTTGCTTATCTGGTCACAACATACTTTCGCTTCTGTTAATGAAACTGTGTTAGAGTGGCAATGGCTTATTCAGTGCCTTGAACATGAAACCTTGATTTGGACACGGCACATATGTTGATAACAGGCATTACTTGTCCTGTCTTTGCAGCTTTGCATTGCCAAACACTTGGTATGTTTGCAGTGGATCCTTGGCTTGAAAGATCACAGCCACTGCATTCTGAAATTGATTTTCTTCTACGGAGAGATGTTTGAAGCAAAAACCAATTTGGTTTGTATAAACTACATTAGAGATAAGAAGATACACCTCAGAGTGCTCAGGATCACCTTTGAAGCCATTTTCACCCTACCATGAATAACAAGTTGCACAATAAAAAGTATTTCTTACAGCTGATCTGATCTCTACCCATCCGTGAATTAGCTCTGAAATGAGATAAACCTATCTACTGTAATTCAGGACAGGTGTATCATACTTCCCAATCATATTACAGAGACTCGTGAGGCCTGGTGGTGTAACCCTGAGCACATAACTGGGGCAAGTAAGGCAGCTTTATCTGCTTTAAAGGACTTGCCTTCTAAATAAGATGCTGTGCTGCTCCCGCCACCTTCAGCTGGTGTGTGAGATTCTACCTGCACTGCTGGTCAGTAAGTGGTAGCTGTGGAGGGTCACACATGTGGCTTGCTTTTCTCTTTGGATAGATTCAGTATTGGGTCTGGCTGAGATTGAGTTCATTTTCCCATAGCAGCCCTCACAGTGCTGTGCTGTGCATTGGTGGCTAGAAAGGTGTTGATAATGCAGCAGTGTTTTGGCTGCTGCTAAGCAGTGCAGGCACAGCATCAGCACTGTCTCTCCAACATTCTACGCCCCCATCAGTAGGCTGGGAGTGGGTAAGATCCTGGATAGGGAACACAACCAGGCCAGCTGACCCAAACTAACAAAAGAGATATTCCATACCATATAAAATCAGTTCAGATATACATGCTAGGAAAAAGAGTAGGAGGCATTCATTATTTACGTTTGCCTTCGGAGCAACCACTACAGTTGCTGAAGCCCTGCTTCCCTGGAAGTGGCCAGGCATGGCTTACTGATGGGAAGTAGAGATTAAACCTATTTCTTTTCTCTTTGCTTATGCACACGAAAACTTTTGCTTTTGCCTTAGTAACCTGCTTTAACCTACAAGTTGTTTTCCATCTTATTTTTCTCTCCCCTGTCCAACTGGGAAGGGGGAGTGATAGAATGGCTTGGTGGCTACCTGGTGCCCAGCCAAGGTCAACCCACCACAGTCTTGTATCTTCTCTCTTATTTTGTCTGATTCTGTCCTTCCAGTCTGGTCTTCAGCTGATGCCAGTTTGTTTAGGTAGTGTGGCAGCCAACCTACAGAAAGACCACAACAGAAAGTATGATTTAAAATGAAAAGCAGGGAGGGGAAAAAAGCCCCACAACAAAACCACCACCTTTCTCTCCCTCCCTTCTTCCCATCTCTTGGTTTTTTGTAATAGGCTTTCCTGATGTGTACTATGATCTAATATGTAGGATATCAAAGAGGTATCAGGGCTTGAGATACTGCTGTGGTATTGAAGATATAGGTGCATTTGCAGTCCAACTCTGGGCTGGAGTCATCCCCTCTCTTTCCTAAGTACAAGGTTGTCATCTCCAGTTATTGTAAGACTGGGTATGGTTTGTGGGTCCTGCATTGCTGTTTTCCCTTGGCAAGAGTGTCAGGTTGGCTCAAGAACACTGATAAGTTTCCCCAAACAGGAGCAGATGGACTCCTAGCAATAGATGCCAAGTCATGTTGTCCATGAGACAACAGGGAAAAAGACCCTGATGAACCAGGCCTGGGGAAGGCACTGGTTGTTCTGCTGGGAACGGTGACATTGACAGCTGAACTTGTTGCCTTTGATGGCAGAAAGCAAATCTTCTGTTGTTTTGACTGTATGCAATTGTGGAAATCAAAGGTGCCATATTCTTGTATCATGATAATTAATGGTAGTTGTCAAAAGGTGCCAAAGAACACAAGCATCCAGAAGGGAAAGAAAATAATCATGGTGCCTCCACTGGATTTTGTAAGAAGTATCGGGATTGGAGGAGGAAAAAGAACTTTATCTGACCTCAACTTTTTGTGGCGAATGAAAATGATAGCAGCTGTGGGTGGGTGGATGGGCATGAAGTGACCGGGTGTTACCCAGTCTGTGATTTAAAAGGTCAGCGCTGAGCTGCTTTAATGTGAGGCAATGGGGAGTTACCAGCTTTGCTTTTCATGTCATATGTCCTGTGTGCTCAAGTGTGCAGGGCTGTGTTGGGGCCTGGGGAGCCCTATCTCCGCAGGCTGTGGAGGCTCCATCAGTGCTGGTTGGTGAAAGATCCCTGGTGGTGTGCTGTGCATGCCCTGGTATGACATGCCTGCTCCTGGGGGGACCGATGCCAGGCTCAGCACAGCCAGGGGGACCCCTTTTACCTTTGGCAGGACCCTGATGGAACGGGAAGCCAGGTCTGTTCAGGCAGTCTCAAGTTGTTTCTTGGAGGCTGCTCTTTCGAGGGCACTTGGCTGCCTGGTGCATCCTGCAGTCTACTTGTCAGCATATTATCAGCTAATTTAAAATTACTCGAACAAGCCCTTATCAGTGCATGAGACCAAAGGGCGTTAGTGGGCATAATGACAAGGAAGGTTTTATGAACCACTTCATAAAGCCAAATCCTCAGGAACTACTGAGGCTGTAATTAGATTTGAGGATAATAAGATTTTTTTTCCTCCTCTTTTTTTCCCCTCTTTTTTTCTTTCTGGTAGCAAATCAAGGAAAAAATTGGAGCACTCGGTTAATTCTTGTGTATTCGGAGTGTGGCTCCAGGCTCTTTACTAACACAAAGGGATTACAACTTGATATCAAGTACCCTGGGAGAAGTGTGAGCATGAAAGTACAGTTGTGTTTTGCTGTAGACTGTGTGGATCCCTTATGTACGTGCCTTGAAAAGGCCTCCCAAGGCTTAGGAGCAATTAATAATGAAATCAACTAATAACAAGATCTGCAATGCAAAGAGAAAACTAGCCAGCATTTTGTTATGGGGAGAAAATGAGCAAACCAGCAGGGGACATGCTGATCGTGTCTGATTCATGTCATCTCTATAATCCCAGCTAAAGTTTTAACAGCCCAGGAAGATGAATTACCCACTCCAACCAACACAGGGATCAGCATGGGGTTTATTAGAAGCAGGCTATCATTTAACAATGTCAGGAGTGTATTTATTATTAAGCAGTAGACTCCACAGTCTAAATGGAAAACGATCACTCCTCCTCAGACAGCAAACAAGGTATGTTCATAAAGCCAAATGGCCAATATAGTGTATGCTTGCATGAACACAAATACTAGGTCCACTTTACTGGACCTCAGGGCTTTCTATGTCAAGCTAGACACTAATAAACCAAAATGTTTGAAGCTACTGGAGGACAAAGCTGTACACCATATGCTAATTCTGACTCTCAAAACTCCCTGTTGACTTCAGTGACTTGGTAAGAAACTAGAGAAAGGATTCTAGGTTCAGCAGAGAGGGGTTGGTTCAAAGCAAATGCTTGTGGGCCATGGTACAAAAAACAAGTAAGAAAACTCTGCACAACCAATTAGATTTTTTATGCACTGTGTACTTTCAGCCTAGACATTGCTGAGTCCTTCCTTTTTCCTTGAGGCCAATGCCCTTGTCCATAGTAAGAATCAATCAGTAAAATGTATGGTAATACACAGCAAACATTTTGAGTTTATTTATCGCCACATTAAGGTACCCAATATGGAAGCATAAATAATATAGTTCAAGTAAACTACCACTTAACGTAGTAATATTTTAAGCTGAATTTGTGGGAAAGACTTGTGACTGGCCACATTTTCAGTCCAGCTTCACAAATCCAAAGTGTTTCTGGGCCAACAAACATACAGTGCTCTCAACCTGTAGCGTGGCCAAACAGCTCTTACTGTTTCACAGTTCTGCTGTTGCTGCACAACTAAATAGCAATCCCAGCAATAGTCTTTGGTCTAGAAGTGGGAAAGAGTTACTGGGCGCAGCCATCTGACTGATGTGACTCTCTACGTTTGTGGGC